AGACGCTAAGCGACGCGAATCGACGCTAGAAACAAAATTGCGAGGGTATGCAAAGCTCCCATGATTTGCTACCGAAGAAATGGCGCGGCGCGAGCAAGGGGATACGGTGAGGGGGGAGGGCTTCACAAAGGAGGCTGCTTCTCAGAAGGCGCCAGCCCTACGTCTAGAGACGAGGCCCGCGCCTTCGAAGAAGCAGCCTCCTTCTAACAAGCCTTCTCCCCTCCCCCCACTGGGGACACCAAACACTTCCGGACCTTTCCCTGGGCGCGTTCTGACCAAAATTGCGAGGCGCATCCAGCGGTGACGACGAGGGCCACCCAGGAGGCAAACAAAAACAGACAGCGAGGCGAGAGCAGCGGGATGGATACCTCCTCCCTCCCTGACCTCCCCCCCCCCACCCTGCGCGTGGCTGGTGGACTGTGCGTGCGTGAGCTGGGCACCCCGTCGTGCCGCTGGGGCCTGGAAGGTCGACGGGGCGCCGCTCGGACAAGCTGGGGCCGCCCGGCTCGGTGCTCCGTTCGGGAACCGCCGGGCGTCTCTGCGGCAGATGACCAGTGCTTACCTCCCCCCGGCCCTGAAGATCAGCACTCCGCCACCCCCGTCCCTCGTCCGCTCCTCCCATCTGCCTATCTCCCTCATTCTGTCTCTCCTCCTCCTCCTCCTCCTCCTCCTCCTCCTCTCCTCCTCCTCCTCCTCCTCCTCTCCTCATCGTCCTCTCTTCCTCCTCTTCCTCCTCCTCCACATCCTCCATCCCCCTCCTCCTCCTCTTCGGTCCTCCTCCACTCCTCCTCTCTTCCTCCTCCACCTCCTCCACCTCCTCCTCCTCCTCCTCCTCTGCCATCCCCCTCCTCCCCCTATTCCCATCATACCACTTGGTCGTCGCCTCCTCCCCCCATCCGTAGGTAGTTTCCCCATCCTGTCTCCTCCTCCCCCTCCTCCTCCTCTCCTCCTCCTCCTCCTCCTCCTCCTCCTCCTCCTCCTCCTCCTCCTCAGCGTCCTCCTCCTCCTCTCTTCTCCCTTTTTCTCCCTCCTCAATCTTCCTCCACATCCCCTCTCGCCTTTCCCCCTTCAGCCCTTTTCCCCCCGCGTCGTCCCTCCTCCAGACGCCGCCGTTTGGGCTCCGCACGCGCACGCAGCCGCTTCCGCAGCCGTGCCAGCGCGCGTGCACGAGTGCAAGCGTCCGAGATTCTGCCCTCGGGCGTCCAATAACGGTACTTGGGTACGCTTTTTGTTGGGAAGCTCATTCTAACACATGCCGCCTCGGTTTAGTAGCCTTTGGCGGCCGCTGGTGCAAGGCTAGCTGCGCCTAGTGGCCCTTGGTTGCCGTCGAAGTACCTCTGATGGCCTCTAGCGGCCTTTAGGGACCTCCACAAACCTGCAACACCACATATGAACACACACGCGCGCACGCGTGAGCCACGCGCTCTGCATTGTCCAGCGCCCTCGCCACCCTGCGCGCGCGCCCGTGCGGCAAGATGCGGCACGCCCAGCGCCAGCTTTTGCTGCGTGGACACGCTGGCGGCGACAGCACGAAGAACGCGCGGTGGCAGCCACCCGGCGCAGGGCCCGCGCCATGCGACAGTGCCCTACGCTCCGCGCGCTGACCGTCGAAGCCAAAGGGCCCAGACCGTTGCGGCGACCCCGCCCCTCGGGGGCACGCTCGCCGCCACCGCGCAGGGCGCGAACCTCCAGAAGCCGGGGTGCCCAACGCGCAGCCCTCGCCGCGACGCGCGTGGCGTGGAGGCCAGACGGCCCATGCCGACCACCTCCAGGCAGGGCCTCAAGAAACCTTGCCTATGACCCGCTCGCGGCCAGACCCCCGCCTGCCTGGAGGAGAGCCAACGCCACGCACATCCACGCACAGCACCCGGCCCAGACCTCCGCAGAGGTGGGCGGGCGGGGCGGCAGCGAGCATCGTCTGGGAGCCGCTTGCAACGCTGCGCGCGTCGCAACGCCATGTTAGACAGCTCCGCAGCCATGCTGCCAGACACCGCCCGATATGGATTCTGGCGGTCTTGGCGTGCTCCCATCGCCCTAGCGATTGCGTGGCATCGAGAGAGGCGTATCTACTAAAACGCCACGTGGCGCCACCGCGTCTGAGACAGTAAGGAATCAGAGAAAGGTCATGTATATCCAAATCGCCCGCATACCTTTTGATCGCGTTTGCATGTTCACGGAAAGTACCTGGCAACAGCCAGGCAGAAGGCGGCACCTTCGCCAATGTCCTGGGAATGAACCGAAGTGCATGGGGATCGTGGATCAAGACGCACTCGTCGAGCCCTTTCCCCCGGGACCCCATCGACCCTGGGAGACTGATCAAGCATACGTCGTCGGCTATGATCGTCATCTGCTTGCGGGTGGGAGTCGAGAGCTCGCCAGCACGGAGAAAACCCAGGAAGCCAATGAGGAACATGACGGCGACAAGGTCCTCGAAGGCGAAAGCCGCTCCGACCATGCCAACCAGAACACCGGTCATGTAGTTGCGCGGCGTGGCCCACGTGAAGGAAACCGGGCTCCACATCGAGCAGCATCGCCGATGCATCGACGATGCAGCACGATCCTCTGACGCCATCCACTCGGACCCCATCTGGGAGTCCTAAAATTTGACCTCCCTCTGGGAAGCCGGCATTTCCGTCCTCCTTCTTGAGCCCGCTGGAGGTCGAGGCCACAGTGCAACCCACGTCTTCGCGTGGGCTCCATGCGCCTCAGGCGCTGGAAGGGCCGACGGTACACATCTGTATCCACGGCCCCGCAGGCAGCGCCCCTGGGCCGCGAGCCCGTGGACGCGGGGCGTTGGTTCGCGGAGGCTCCTCGCAGAACCCGATGCTCCTCAGACCGTGTGTTCGTGCCAGCGTGGATGGGCCCGCCGACCTGCAATGCGACGCAGGCGGTACTGTGAAGGCCGATAAAAGGATGCGTGCTGCGTCGGTGGAGCCCAGCGGGGCAAACACTCGTGTTTCCGTCTCGGCGGCGAGGCAGAGGCGGTCCGCACCAGCGTGGGGCTAGCCGGGGCAAGCGGGAGGAGAGTTCTCCGGCGTGCAGGAGGGACATCGGACATCGGACATCGGCCTGCAGTCGAGGCGCCGCGGGGGCGCTGCAGGTGGGCGCCGGGGCGCCGCCATGCATGACAGTTGACGACGGTGAGACAAGGGACAAGCGAACGAGAGGAAGACAGAGACAGAGAGAGACCAACAGAGGATGGGCAAAGGAGAAATGCAATATGCAATCGTAGATACAACAACTATGCGTGTGAAACATAAGAAAATTAAGTGATTACGACGTGCCGACTCCCTCATTCATTGTGTGACGGAGGAGGAGGAGGAGGAGGAGGAGGAGGAGGAGGAGGAAGACCTCCTGGTGGACGCCGTGAGCCACAGGCCACGGCCGTAGCTGCGGGCGCAGCGGCGGCCCCGAGCGGGCCGGGCGAGGACTCTGCGCGGGAGTTGGGCGTGTCACGGTCGCGGCCGACAGGCTGCGCCTCGCCCCGCTGGCGTCACGTCGGGCACGTCCCTCTGCAGGGGGAATATTCTGATGGGCCTGTTTTCCACCACCACCACCACCACCACCACCATAAGTTGGAGGGGGAGGGGGTCCTCCTCCTCCACCTC